GCAGGAGCCGTCCTCCTCGCTGCCTGTCCTCTCCCCGCAGGCGGAGCACCAGCTGCTGTCCCCAGGGGTCCTCGGCTCTTGCCCTCCTGGGGTCTCTGCAAGAGGGCAGCGCAGGACAGTGGTGACGGACGCCCCGCAGACACAGCCCAACGCAGGCGGCCGCACCAACTGCGCACTGGGAAGAGTGAACCAGCCCGGAGGACACAGGTGGACAGAACCTGGACGGGCACCCGGAACTGAGCACAGAGGTGTGGAGCGAGCTGCCCAGCCATGGAGCTGAAGCCCTCAGGAAAAGGCTGGACGAGACCCTGGACAAGATTAGCTACCAGACGGGCCAGTCGGACTGAACAGCTCCTCTCGTTTCGAATCTTCCGCAGGTTCTCACGTTCGTAAGAAGGGAGAATTTGCCTGGAACAGCTGGATCGGGACACCATGCCCTGGGCACAGCCAACACACTTGATACTATCAGCAGAACAAACTGCTCCAACAGCTGGACCAAGGGACAGATGACCACACTCCTTCCACGCTCAGGGTCCAGTCCCGAGCCCAGGGAACAGGGGTGATCCTGGACTAGCGCGGGGTGTGTCTGGTGAGGGCTCAGCCCTGCTTAACTGACTCCTGACGGGTTTGTGAACAAGGGAGAGCGGTAATGAATACAGACACTAATTGAATGAATAATTTAGATTATTCTAGCCTGTTGATCATGTTGCTCTTTGACAGATTCAGTCTCAGCGCAGGCTGTTGGCATCGAAGGTATATTTTGTCTCTGATGTGAGAAGTGGAGAACAGCAGGAAACAGTACAGAGTAGGCAGGGCTGTCACCAGTGAAGAATAACAGAGGTCAGCACTGGGATCTCCACTCTTCAAACCCGAGCTCTAGACTCTAGGATAGTCAGCCAGTCAGGTTTGCAGACAAACCCAAAAGAGGAAACACTCCTGAGGCAAAAAACTAAATTTAAATCCCCTTACATTACATTCAGGATTGTGTTCCATGCATGGAGCAAAAAACGCGGAGCTGGAGGAGGCTGACCGGGCCTTACTAACTTAAAACAAGGGGTGATTTGTTACAATTGCATGAGGCATGAGGCACAAGTAGAGCCTCATTCAGAAAATGTTGTACAGTACTGGCTTTTAACTCACAATAAAGATACTGCTGCTCTGGAACCAGGACAGAGAGAGGCCCCCAGATGCAGCAAGGGATGTGCTCCACTGACAGACTGGGCAATTGTTTTCTTTCCTAAACCAGAGGACACAAGTTCAAATCATGCAAAAGTGCATTTCTAACTGAGAATAGGAGGCACTTCTTTACACAGAGGGATGTGGGTGTGTGGAACAAGTCATGACACTTGTTGTCATCCTGGCCTCTATCAAGGAAATTGATGGACAGTTTGGTCCTGAGATTTTAGCAAAGTGCTGAGACCCCTCTTTCACCTTTGACTAAGACCCAGTGAAGACACTGGACGTAGTGGTTAGAAACAAACAGTATGAGCACTTTCATCAGGCGTCCTACCAGCAGAGGGAGCTGTCCTCCAGGAAGGCAGACTGAGGCTCAGCTCTGAGTCCAGGGAGCTGCTGCTGTCCTGTGCTGTCCTGTCCTGTGCCTGGATTGTCCCTGACTGGAACGCCGGCCACTCCGGGCGCTCATCCCACAGGGCCAGTGACCCCAATCGGGTGTTGGGGTGTCCGTCTCTGAGGTCACTCTGCGCCCCATACAGCCTGCGCCTCTTCTCCGGCACGTCCTCACACAGCTCTGTCAGAGCAGCACAGAGCATAGCACAGTGTTGCTTTGAGCGCATGAGCAGCTCTCCCACACTGACTGATCTAGACACAGCACAGCTCCTCACTGCCTGATCTAGACACAGCACAGCTCCTCATACTGACTGATCTAGACACAGCACAGCTCCTCACACTGCCTGGTCTAGACACAGCACAGCTCCTCACACTGCCTGGTTTAGACACAGCACAGCTCCTCACTGACTGATCTAGACACAGCACAGCTCCTCACTGCCTGATCTAGACACAGCACAGCTCCTCACTG